AGCTCCAAAACCGGATCTCGACGCCAGAGCGAAAACAAGACGATTTTGAAGCACTTTTTAAAAGGATTTTTAGAAGGAAAATCACTAGCGCCAAAATGGAGAAAATTTGCTAACAAATCCATGTCGCAGCCTTCATGCAGCGACTCCAATACGATTTACGAGATCCAGCTGCAAAAGACAATAGTATTACGAATGCAGCCACAGCACGCAGCAACCTTGACGCAGCCATTACAATGCGATCTGCAGAGACTGAGTTGCAAAACACAATAGAACTACGCGCAACGGCGTCGGAAATTGTAGCTCCAAAATCGGATCTCGACGCCACAGCGAAAAAAAAGACGATTTTGAAGCACTTTTTAAAAGGATTTTTAGAAGGAAAATCACTAGCGCCAAAATGGAGAAAATCTACTGACAAATCAGTGTCGCAGCCTTCATGCAGCCACTCCAATACGATTTAAAAAGTCCAGCTGCAAAAGACAATAGTATTACCAATGCAGCCACAGCACGAAGCAACCTTGACACAGCCATTTACATTGCGGGAACGATCCTACAGTTGCAAAGCACAATGGAATTCCATTGGCAACTCATCCGCCAGCAACACTTGCAATCCCATTTACATTGAGGGAACGATCCTAGAGTTGCAAATCACAATGCAATTCCATCAGCAACTCGTCCCCCAGCAACACTTGCAACCCCATTTACAATGCGGGAACGATCCTACAGTTGCAAATCACAATGGAATTCTGTCGACCACACATGCACGAAAAACAGTTGACACCCCATTTACAATGCGGAACCGATCCGAGAATGATCCGAGGATGATCCGAACATATCCGAGCATGATCCGACCACACACGAGACCGTCTCGCACCCGTCGCACCGCAGAGGTAGATCATCGACGTTCGGGGACGGACTTTGTATGGAAAAACATAGGGTTTCGTGCATCTGCTATCTCTCAAAAATGCATTTCGTGCGAGACTTCCTTCAAAACTCCATCGGCCACTCCTCCACCAGCACCACTTGCAATCCCATTTACAGTGAGGGAACGATCCTAGAGTTGCAAATCACAATAGAATTCCATCAGCAACTCATCCACCAGCACCACTTGCAACCCCATTTACAATGCGGGAACGATCCTACAGTTGCAAATCACAATGGAATTCTGTCGACCACACATGCACGAAAAACAGTTGACACCCCATTTACAATGCGGAACCGATCCGAGCATGATCCGACCATGATCCGAGACCGATCCGACCACACACGAGACCGTCTCGCAACCGTCGCACCGCAGAGGTAGATCATCGAGGTTCGGGGACGGACTTTGTATGGAAAACATAGGGTTTCGTGCATCTGCTATCTCTCAAAAACGCATTTCATGCGAGACTTCCTTCAAAACTCCATCGGCAACTCATCCACCAGCAACACTTGCAATCCCATTTACATTGCGGGAACGATCCTAGAGTTGCAAATCACAATGGAATTCCATCGGCAACTCATCCACCAGCACCACTTGCAACCCCATTTACAATGCGGGAACGATCCTACAGTTGCAAATCACAATGGAATTCTGTCGACCACACATGCACGAAAAACAGTTGACACCCCATTTACAATGCGGAACCGATCCGAGCATGATCCGAGGATGATCCGAGGATGATCCGACCACACACGAGACCGTCTCGCACCCGTCGCACAGCAGAGGTAGATCAGCGACGTTCGGGGACGCACATTGTATGGAAAAACATCGGCTTTCGTGCATCTGCTATCTCTCAAAAACGCATTTCGTGCGAGACTTCCTCCTAAACTCCATCGGCAACTCCTCCACTTGCACCACTTGCAATGCCATTTACAGTGAGGGAACAATTTCTTTGCTAACTCTTTCTGTGACTAACTCTTTTCCTCACTAACTCTTTCTTTGACTAACTTGTTTCTTTGCTAACTCTTTCTTTGACTACCTCATATATCCTGACTAACTCTTTCTTTGACTAACTCTTTCCCTCACTAACTCTTTCTTTGACTGACTCTTTCCCTCACTAACTCTTTCTTTGACTAACTCTTTCCCTCACTAACTCTTTCTTTGACTAACTCTTTCCCTGACTAACTGTTTCTTTGCTAACTCTTTCTTTGACTAACTCTTTCCCTCACTAACTCTTTCTTTGACTAACTCTTTCCCTCACTAACTCTTTCTTTGACTAACTCTTTCCCTGACTAACTCTTTCTTTGCTAACTCTTTCTTTGACTAACTCTTTCCCTCACTAACTCTTTCTTTGACTAACTCTTTCCCTGACTAACTGTTTCTTTCCTAACTCTTTCTTTGACTAACTCTTTCCCTCACTAACTCTTTCTTTGACTAACTCTTTCCCTGACTAACTCTTTCTTTGACTAACTCTTTCCCTGACATTCTAAAAGTCCGTAACACGGAAGTTTCTCCCCCTAAACTTCCTTTGAACATTCTATAACCCCCAACTTCCAAATCTTCCAATAATCTCAACCTGCAAAGTCTCTATTTTGATACTGATGCAGAGTACTGCCAGGTCTCCAAGCAGGTGAAGGACCAGGCCAAGGCTCTTCTGCGGAAACTGCACAACATGCCTCCCAGATGCTCAGTGGAAGGACCGGGCTTCCGGGTTCGCAGAGCTTAGCACAACTGGGATACAACTGGTACAAAGCGCAGCACTGCAGGAGCCGGGGAGTTTGTGTTCCACTACACCATGGACAATGGAACCTCGGCTCAAGTTGAACGCTGCATCATGCTGCATCATTTCAAACAAACATTGCATGATTCATTCATCTTTCTTGAAACCCTTAGGTGTGTGCTACATGGCTCTTTTTGACAAGAGCTGCTTGGCAGGACAAGTCCGAACAAAATTCCCTGAAGTTCGTGGAATGACCGGCAGAAGTTTGGACAATCTTGGAGCTAAGGCTATCCGAAAAACCTGGCCTTCTGTTTCCTGGAGGCCATGCTGCACCTTGCTGCACCTTGCTGCACCTTGCTGCACCTTGCTGCACCTTGCTGCACCTTGCTGCACCTGTAAGGTCACACTTGTCATTATTGGAACATATTGGAACCCAATTTTCCATTCATATTTTATTGATCGCTTTATATGACGAATGACCGCCATGAATTGGAAGGACATTCACCAGCTCTTCCAGCAGGAGTTGCAAAGGGAATTCGGCACAGGCGCGGCAGTAGGTGCTGTTTGAAAACTGTGAAAGAGACCGGGGTTGGATATGTTGGATCAAGCTTGAGGACTCAAACAATCACAGTTTTCTTAGTCACTTGAGGCCCGTTTTGGTTCTTGAACCATCCCCAAATTTGGCATATCCAGCTCTGATTCATACAAATAGCATGGGATTGGAATCCGCGCAAAGTAAAGAAAGCAGCTACAATGGTGGAACGAACCAAAATAGCCAATAGAATCAATAGAACACGTTTGCGACTTGGAGCCCACAATACGAAGGGTCCGCCGCGAAATGACATCGATTGGGTGGTATCACCAAGTTTCAAAAAGCAAATGGTCGATATTGGCCAATTTTCAGAACAAACAGAGGGATGACTCGGGATGACCCAAACCATGCCTGCTTCAAGCTCCACGGCAGGATCTGTGGACTACAGGTCTCACATTGAGACCATTGCAACATGGCTGATCTTAACTTGCACGTTTGCGTCCATAGAAGCCACATGTATGCTTTGCAGATTCACACGTTGAGAAAGTTGACATGTTTGTGTAAGGAGAAGCCATATTTTTTCATCAAATTTGACCGACAAATAACAAAGATACTTGGCCGCACAGAAGCAGATGATGTGTGGTCCATTGTCATTTGCAACCTGCAGTTGACTTGCTGAGGAAGAACGCAGAGTACAGGGATCCCAAGTCCTCCAAAGCTTTGAGCAAGTTGAACAACAATCTTCAAGAAGTCTCCAACATAATGAGGCCTTGGCAGTGCAGATGTGAGGTGGTTAGAAGCAACTCAGGATTGTAGACAATGGGTTTTTTCCTGTCAGAGTTCCAACATGCTCCAATTACATGCTCCAAGTACATGATATCACGTCGTCTAGCGAAACAGCAGTCGGAAAAGTCATAGCTTTGCAAGACATTGCAAGACCATGAGTTGCTCGAGGCAAAACATCGACGAAATCTTAAAGCGTGGCGAGAATCTTGAGTCTGTCGGGCGCAAGGCTTGAGCCCTGCATTTGAAATGCAAGAAAGCCATTGGGCTTCTTTTGCACCAGGAGTTCCACAGGAAGGGCACGACATGTTCCCTTAGTCCTTTGAAGATCCCTTTGGAACAGCATTCTGACACACACCGTGATACCTCTTCATAAGCAAATCCATAGCGCTTGATCTAGAGATCCCCAGGTGACAAGTTGCTCTTCAAAAAAGAAGACAAAAGGGTTCAGGGAGATGACGTCTTTCTGTTGATATGATGTCATTTGCATTTGTGAGTTCGTAATCTTCCTCGTTTTCCTTTGTGTTTGAGATCACTTTGAGATCTGAGACTGGGACGCTGCAAGGCCAACAGCATCAAAGAGGAGTCCAAGAAGTTCCGAAACATGACTGGTCAGCTGAGCTTCCAGACCATGCTTCAGAAGTGCGCCAACAGGCATTGTGTATAGCAGGCATTCTGAAGAATATGCGTTGTGATGTGATGCGTGGGGGCAGCAACTGTGTGTTTGACCAGGTACGGAGTCTTCGTGGTGATAGGGCTCATGGCGTTTTTGCTGATTTGCTTCAAGCTCTTCAGATCCTGATGCCATGTGCTGAAAATCTTGACCTTTGCCAAAGTGGAGGGTAGTTAATGTGAAACCGAAACAATCCGAAGGCAATCCTAAACAGCCAAGTTGTCACCTGCAAGTTGCGCCGAGCAGGAGGTGGCTTGCCGCTCGAGTAAGCCTGCTTCCAAATGATCAGTCAAAAACACATTTAATGTGATCATAAGATATAACAAAACGAACAAGGGCATTCTCTTGTTTCCAGGCAAACATTCCTGTCCATTAATCTGAATTTGTATCGAACAGAAATCAGAACTAGTTTGTCATCCTTGGCAAGCAGCGAGTGGTGTGGCGTTTTGCCTGCCAATGGCCCTGTGTAGCCTGCAGAGCTTTTTCACTACCATGGGATCCAGATCGCAGCGACATCACAAAGTTCTCAGCAAGCATTGGTAGCTCTCCCTTTTGGAGACATTTGGAGGATGGAATGGATGTCACTGCTGAATCTCGCAGTTTGCAGCTGCCATCTCGGAGGTTGAAGGGTTCAGATCAGAAGCCACAACCAGTTCAGCCAGTCGAATGGTGAGTCATTCTGCTTTGTCCAAGAACTACATTGCTCCTGCGCTGACCACAAATCTCCAAGCCCGTGGGATCACGGGTATTGCCACGCTGATGATTTCGAGCTAAGCTTATAAATCATATAATCTTATACAAGTTTCCCTAGATACGTGTGGCGTAGCATAATATGCTGCAACTTGATGTAAGACCCTGCCCGTAGCGTAAGTGATACGTAATTGGACTTGGGCATGTTGTGTGGGTTCGTGTTTAATCATTTTTTAAGTTGCCCGTCTTGAGACAGCATACATATTCAGATGCACCAATTGAGGGCTGCACTGTACTGTATAATGAGCATGTGCAGCTGCAAATCATCAGCTCGGCAATGTGCAGAATCCCGGTATTTGTTTTCCACGACGGGAAGGCACTGCCTTCAAGCGTGTACCGACACCCGTGCACCCGAAAGTAACGAGCTTCGTTTCAGCGCCTTTCAGAGTGGTGTGTTGGTCTATTGAGCCTATTGCCATCTATCAGGTTCTGTGCCTTTTTTGCTTCACAGCTCGTTTCTGCTGCACTGTTTTTGAACTGCAACAGCTTCACCAGATCTGGATTGCGAGGAAGCTGGCACTTTTCAAGGAGCTGGAGACTTGGGGTGTAGTGCAGATGTGTAGCAAGAAGGAATTCACACAATGAATGGATTCCTTCCATTGTGCATGGCACCTCTTTTTATGTCTGACTTTGCTATACTTTGCTGTGATGTTCGAACCAGCTCTGGTGCGCGCTTGTAGTTGGAAGACAACTTGTGACATCACTGTTTCGACTTTACGAGGTAAACTTTGAGAAGTTTGGAGACATGATTGACGACGATACTGAGGAAGGCATCAAAACCCGGCATACCGATTGATGGACGCAACAGAATAATACAACATATGGAGCGTGCGACACCAAAGCTGTTGTGCGACTGCAGAGGTAAAGGCAAGTCAAGAAAGGAGAAAACGTTTTCAAAAACAGTTATCAAAGGAAGTTGGGAAGCAGTACTTCCGTGTTACGGACAAATAGAATTGTGAGACTTGACCTTGATGAAGGGTGGTGTGAGAGTTGACATCACATAACAATACATCACAAAAGAATTGCCCTTGATGAAGGGGGGTGTGAGACTTGACATCACATAACAATACATCACAAAAGAATTGACATTGATGAAGGGCGGTGTGAGACTTGACATCATGACATAACAATACATCACAAAAGGATTGACATTGATGAAGGGCGGTCTGAGACTTGACATCACATAACAATACATCACAAAAGGATTGACATTGATGAAGGGCGGTGTGCGACTTGACATCACATAACAATACATCACAAAAGGATTGACATTGATGAAGGGCGGTGTGAGACTTGACATCACATAACAATACATCACAAAAGAATTGACATTGATGAAGGGCGGTGTGAGACTAAGGGAAGTGGTGACGAAGGGAGTGTGGTGACTTTGGGAAGTGGTGACTTCGGGAAGTGGTGAGGAAGGGAAATGGTGACTTTGGGAAGTGGAGACTTTGTAATGGCTGCATGAATGCTCAATGGGCTTTGTTTTGGAGTGTTGACGAAGGGAAGTGGTGAGGAAGGGAAGTGGTGGGAAGTGGTGACGAAGGGAAGTGGTGTGGCTGCAGCCGGCGATGAAAGGTACCTCCTGTGTGCGGCGGTTGCAGCTGCGGTCGGTTTGCCTTTTTTTTCTACCGCATTGTAACCGTGGCTTCAAGCTGCTTTTGTGTGCTTGTGCGTGCGTAGTTATAGGGTGTTTTGGAATCTGTGGTTGCAGATCGCATTGGAATGGCTGATGATTGTTGTCATCTGGTGTTGCCATGTGCGTAGATACGTGCAGGTTTGCGACGTGATGCTGCGAAACGCATTGTAATGGCTGCATGAATGTTGCATGGGGCTTGTGTTGGGGAGGAAGCCCGAGCACGAAACCTTGTGTTTTTCCGTGTAAAGTGGTTGCAGCCGGCGATGAAAGGTACCTCCTGTGTGCGGCGGTTGCGGCTGCGGTCGGTTTGCCTTTTTTTTTTGCCGCATTGTAACGGTGGCTTCAAGCTGCTTTGGGTGTGCTTGTGCGTGCGTAGTTATAGAGTGTTTGGAATCTGTGGTTGCAGATCGCATTGGAATGGCTGCATGATTGTTGTCATTGGTGCTCTGCCATTGCGTAGATAGTGTTCCAGGTTTGCTACGGGGTGCTGCAAAACGCATTGGAATGGCTGCATGAATGTTGCATGGGCTTTGTTTTGGGGAGGAAGCCAGGAGCAAGAAACCTTGTATTTTTCCGTGTAAAGTGGCTGCAGCCGGCGATGAAAGGTACCTCCTGTGTGCGGCGGTTGCGGCTGCGGTCGGTTTGCCTTTTTTTTTTTGCCGCATTGTAACGGTGGCTTCAAGCTGCTTTGGGTGTGCTTGTGCGTGCGTAGTTATAGAGTGTTTTGGAATCTGTGGTTGCAGATTGCATTGGAATGGCTGCATGATTGTTGTCATCCTGGTGTTGCCATGTGCGTAGATACGTGCAGGTTTGCTACGTTATGATGCGAAACGCATTGTTATGGCTGCGTCAAGGTTGCTTGGCGCCGCGGCTGCATGCGTAATACTACAGTCTTTTGCAGCTGGAGATCTTAAATCATATTGGAGTGGCTGCATCAAGGCTGCGACAGTGATTTGTCAGCAGATTTTCTCAATTTTTGGCGCCAGTAATTTTCCTTTTAAAGCCTTTTTAAAAAGTGCTTCAAAATCGTGATTTGTCAGCAGATTTTCTCAATTTTTGGCGCCAGTAATTTTCCTTTTAAAGCCTTTTTAAAAAGTGCTTCAAAATCGTCTTTTGTCGCTTTGGCGTCGAGATCCATCCGGTTTTGGAGCTGCAATTTCCGACGCCGTTGCGCGTAGTTCTATCGTGTCTTGCATTTCAGTGTCTGCAGATCGCAATGTAGTGGCTGCGTCAAGGTTGCTTGGTGCCGCGGCTGCATGCGTAATACTATTGTCTTTTGCAGCTGGATCTCGTAAATAGTATTGGAGTGGCTGCATCAAGGCTGCGACAGTGATTTGTCAGTAGATTTTCTCAATTTTGGTGCTAGCAATTTCCCATTTAAAAGTCCTTTTAGAAAGTGCTTCAAAATCGCGTTTTTTTTGCTTTGGCGCTGAGATCCGGCTTGAGAGCTGCAATTCCTGTTGTGGTTATGTACAAGAAAGCTTCTCTGTGTGAAAACTTGTTTCTGTAAAAGCTTGCTGTGTGTAAAAGATTTTGTGTGTAAAAGCTTGCTATGTGTAAAAGCTTCTCTGTGTGTAAAAGCTTCTCTGTGTAAAAGTTTCTTTGTACAAGCTTTGTAGTACAAAGTAGTACAGGAACGTGCTTTGTGCAAGCTTTGTAGTACAAAGTAGTGGGAAGTGCTTTGTGCAAGCTTTGTAGTACAAAGTAGTACTGGGAAGTGCTTTGTGCAAGCTTTGTAGTACAAAGTAGTACTGGAAGTGCTTTGTGCAAGCTTTGTAGTACAAAGTAGTAATGGGAAGTGCTTTGTGCAAGCTTTGTGGTACAAAGTATTTTGGAGAGGCTTTTCTGTGTAAATGCATCTGTGTCCCAAGTTTCTGTGTGCAAACGCTTTCTGCGCCCAATGGTTTTTGTGTGCAAGAGACTTCTCTCTCACAGTAAGAGCTTTCTGGCGTGCAGAACAGCTGAGATGAGTTGAGGCGAACTTCGAGGAGACGAGAAAGGTTGATCAGTGCTCGGATGAGATGAAAACAGTTGAGAAGAACCTACTTAGATGACATGGGTGAAATGAGAAGAGCTGAGATGAGGTGAGAAAAGCTCACATGATTTGAGATGAGATGAAGTGTGGAGTGTGAAGTGTGAAGAGTGCAGTGTGAAGTGTGAGGAAAGTGTTTGCTTGGCGTTGCATTGCGCCAGGGTCGTGCGCAGGTCATGTTCTTGGACAACACCTGTGCAACAGCTTCGGACAAAGCGCGCACGCACGGGCCTGGCTGGCGCACGGCGCATGCAAATTCTATAGATGAAAAAGGGCTTATAGTATATCCCTAAGGCAACTTCCGCCCCGCTTCGTGCGGGCACCACTGATGTATATATATATATACATATATATATATTTATATACATACACACATTATAATTTATATACCCTCATAGGGACTATCATCCTCATGTTCCTGTCAGAAGTTGGAGGCACAGTAGGACCAACATTTAAAGAAATTGGGTGCCTGGCTGCCTCAAGCTGCAGGTGTGGGCATGACAGATGATGAAATTCGACAGATGATCAAGGATCGTGGGATTTTTGTTGTTTTGTGATTGCCGTCTTGTGTACATTCTAGGATTTTCCATCGACATGGCATGATTGGACATTTTGCGCTTCCACTGCTACCTGTTTCTTTCTTGGACTCGGTAGAGTTTCTTGGTCGCGCGCCCGAGGGATCCTTACATATTGTTTGCACATTTTTGC